CTGCTGTCACTGCTGTCGCTGCTGTCACTGCTATCGCTGCTGTCGCTGCTATCGCTGCTGTCGCTGCTGTCACTGCTATCGCTGCTGTCGCTGCTGTCACTGCTATCTGATTTATTGTCACTACTGTTGCTACTATCTGATTTGCTGTCACTGTTGTCACTGCTGTCTGATTTATCTTTACTGTTGTCTGATCTGCTTTCATCATCACTTCCATTGTTATCACTGCCATTACTGTCACTATCATTAGCATCGGATGTGCTATCACTGTCATCATTTCCTTCTCCTTTTGAGTCACTGTCATTGCCATTATCTTTTGATTCATCAGAGTTATAAGAAGCATCTTCTTGGCTACTGCTGTCATTGTCACCTTCAGAATTGGAATCACCATCACCATTAGACTCATCACTGCTATTGGGATCGTCTCTTTGCATGGATTCATCATCAAACTCATAACTATCATATCCAGCACTATTACTGTCGCTACTTGTTTTGTTGTGTTCAACCTTATTTCCAGGTTCTGGTTTCTGGCCAGGTCCTTGCATGTTGTCTGCCTCTCCTTGTGTCTTGACATTTCCTTTGCCCACAATCACTCCATGTTGTCCTTTACTCACTTTATCTTCGTTGACTTTCCCAGCTTCCTTGGTAATATTGTTTCTGTTGCCACTGCTGGGACTTTCAATTTCTATTCCCTATGGAAAGATGGAGTAAAGAATGGTTAATTAGTGAATGTTGTGCTGCAAAATTGCATTGGTCTGAGAAAGACTGACTTGGGAAATTGACCAGAGAAGCAGGAGTTCAGCTTCTAGTACTTCAGAAACATCTGTTTGTGGAAATGTGCTTTATTCAGTAATTGAAAGTGCTCTAGTGTTTAGATTATATAACAACCCATCCACATGGTTACCCAGTAGGAAATTTTGTAAACTATTACATGGTGCAGCATAAGACTTTTCTAGAATTGTTACCAAATATTCAGAAATGTCTGATTTTTAAAATTGTTCTATATCAAAGTCTAGTGAGACTCTAGCTTTCCCATTAAATTTTTAAGTAATTTAGGTGCAAAAATACACAAATGCTTGTCATGATTTATTTTTGTACTTCTGTTAGTGGGTGGAGGGGGAGAATTTAAACTGCCATTGAAAGAAATCAGCTTCACAAACTAACCTTATCTTGGCTCTTCCCATTAGTACTTGGCTCTGATTTTTTGGTGATTCCATATTCCACACCATTGTTTTCTCTGTGGTTGGGTTTTTGGGTGTCCTCTATTCTTTGGCTATTAGTGTCTTCAGGAATATCGTCAGAGTCCTCCTCACTCTTAGAGGCATTGTGTCCATCCACGTCATGGGGGTCTCCTTTGTCTTCAGGATCATTATCTTCATTACTAGTTGAATTTTGACCTAAGCTGTTGTCATCATCATCTTCTTTTCCATGACCCTGACCCTCCTGGCCCTTTTTGTTATTAGTGCCCTCTTTTCCATTTCCTGTTTCTTCACCTTCGCCACCACCAGAGCCCCTGTCTTCATCCTCATCTGCTCCATCCCCGCTAGGACTCCCATCAGAATTATCCGGGCCAGCATCTTCTCCATTGCCAGCTCCACTTCCTGTTGGTGTCACCTCTGCCTCCTTATTACCATTTCTCTCACCTTCTCTCTGAGGTGTTATTTCACTAGTATTACCCTCATTTTGACAGAAACTCCCATTTATCCCATCTTCATGGCCTGTACTGTTATCACTTCTAGCTACTTGATGTGCATCTTGTTTGACAACAATGGCATCCTCACTCTGACCTGCATCTCCAACATCCTCATTTGTTGAATTATTTTCAGTATTCTCATGAATATTGCTCCCATTCGATGCTCCAGTATTGTCGATAATGCTTACTTGCCTCCTGGTGCCATTTGCTGTGGTGCTTTCTCCTTTCCCACGTATCCCATCATGACCATATATTTCTGATTTTCCTGTGCTCCCGTTCTGATCCTTGGGATTCCTCTCTTCATTTCCTAACATGGGATGTGTAGAAAAACTTTCCCCTCCAACTTCTGCCCCCTCAGAGCCATTTTTCTCTCCTTTGTAACCATCTTCTGTATACTGTGGCCTTCCTATTTCATTCTCATGCATGGGGACATCACTTTCTTTGGTGGTATCATTGGCATTTAACTCATCCTGAACAAGAAACAAAAATAAATCATGGATATCATTTTGAAGTAATGCAAACTGAACAAGAAGAGTGTCAATTTTGGGGAGTTAATGGAATCTAAAAACACCTTAGAAACATATTTTATATTCCATACCTGCATTGGCACTTCCAATTTTGCTAGAAGATTTAAATTCACAGATTTGTCAACAGCATGTCTCGCCAATGGTTTGATTTGAGGAATCTACCAAATTGAAAATATTGGAAATTGAAAACATCCTTATTTTGTGTGCATGCACACACAGACACACACACACACACACACACACACACACACACACACACACACACACACTTTTCCCTAAATTAAGAAAAAAATATAGGGCTGGCCGAGTGGCGCGATGGTTAAGAACTGGCTTGGGACGCCAGAGGGCCCCGGTTCGGATCCCACATATGAGGGCCAGTGACACTGCCCTCCACAGCTAAGATGCTGAACAACAGCTCAACATGGAGCTGGGCTGCCGTGAGTCGCCGGCGACGGTGTAGGCTGCAGCCCCTGTGGCAGTGTGTTGCCATGGGCTACCGTGTGTAGCCAGCAGCCAGCGTGAGCGGCCAGCAGCCGCAGTGAGTGGCCGTCCAGAAGCCGGCGACTGATCTGCCTCGCCTGGGAAGAGCGCAATGATGGTGCCAACTTGGGCCAGTGAAGCAACATCCTCCAAACTAGACTGAAGAACAAAATGACAGCAACTTGTCTGTTCCCCTTCCCCCAATTCCCCAGCGCTGTTCCATCCCCCCAATTCCCCAATTAAAAAAAAAAAAGAAAAAAAAGAAAAAAATATAAAGCACAAAGTCCAAAGTATGATCTAATGAGGTATAAAAGATAAGTGACCTTTTACAGGCTTGTGTGGAATTTACACTAGGCATGCAGATACTTTTCACAATGGTGTTACCAATTTTATTGAAAAATTAACCAGACCATTTATCTCAACTATTGAAAGTGAATAGTCTTTTTTAGAGACAAGGAAATAGACCTTTGGTGTTTCTGTATAATTCGCCTCTTGCAATAGCACAAGACCTGCCCTAGGCATAATCTTGGCCAAAACTCCTAAGAAAATAGTTGGTGTGACCAGAGCTGGTGCAGAAGCAAAATCAAGTATTGGCTACTTCTGTGCCCTTCACAAGCACATTTGAAATAACTGAGAAAATTCTCAATTACATAAATACTGAAGTGTTTTGTATTATGAAAGTATATTAAAATGTTAACCATACCAGCTGGCTAATAAAAGTACAAATGTTTCCATTTTCTTTGTTGGTGTTTATCTGTATATTCCAAATTTTCCGCACTGAGCATATAAAAAATAACTCCCTGAATGAAACATTAGATTTCTCCTATGTTGAAAAAAATCCTATTTTTTCCTATTTTTCTTTGTTGAAACTTCCTAAACAATTCATTGATATTAGAATGAAATTTATATCTATGAGCAAAATGAACAAAGTCTCCATAACTTCTGGGCATTGAATGTAAATTAATCTGATTGCATTTTTAAAATAATAATCCTTCTGACCAGCATGAGTTTTGATTGGAGGAATGGGAGCATGAATTTGGAATCATGTTTGGTTTTCTTGAGGCTCTGGAGAGATCTTGTCAAGTGTTTTATGCAAATCTAAATGTTTAGGCTCAGTTTATCTGCAAAATCTTAAGGAAATATACATATGTTTTTTAATTATTTATTTTTTTCAGTTACGGTTGACATTTGATATTATTTTACATTAATTTCAGATGTACAGCATAGCGGTTAGATATATATTTTTAAATATTAGGTAAAAAGAGATATCGAAATAAGGAGGTTCTCTGAGGAAGACACACTTACCGGAATAGCCCATGCTGCTGCCCAAATGCAAATATATACAATTATCTTCATTTTCTTCAGGAATATTAATTAACAGGTCTTAAAAAAAAAGAACAGCACAACATTACTTATACAGCAAGAGATGGTAACCACAGTAATGTATTATTTTGGTCTGTAAGCATTTGCCTTTTTCCTGGGCAAGGAGCATGTGTCCAACATGAGAAGGTGGCTGTCAAGACTCGATGTTCCAGAACATACCTGGAGTGGTCACAGGGACAAACGATGTGTCATCATGCTCAGCACCAGTGTAGCTGCCTAGACTTTTTCTGCCTCTGCCAGTAAAGGGGAACAGCCACGTAGGCACAAAGGCATAACCATAACTTTGTCCTTCTTGATGGTAATAATCTCCCTCTCTTCTGAGACCAAGTATGAACTAACTGTTCTAAGGTTGTGCTTAGAAGATGAAGCAGTTATCATCCTCACCCCACATCCATACATTGGGCTATTCTAGACTGTAAGGGAAAGACTCAAGAGAGCCTCGGCTAGTGGAAAGAGCATGGAGTTTGGGTTCAGAGACCTGGGTTCAAATTCTACCTTTGCTACTTGATGTGTGAGCTTGAGAAACTTGAGTCACTTTATTAAGCCTTTGATTCCTCTGTCTGGGATAACAATAATGCCTGCACTTCAAGATTACCCCAAATATTTTAGCAGAAGAACGCTCTCTGAGAAGCCTCCTCTGACTCCATTTCAGAGGGTGTTCAGCGTGTCGTTTACATGTAGCAGCTCCCGCACACCTCAGCGGTAGCACATTGCACTGTTTTTAAAACAGCCTAGTTACTTATATGGTCCTCTGCCCTACCGAGAGCTCCTGAGACCCAAGAAGAATGTCTTGGCGATCGTTGTATTCCAATACATAGCACAAAAAAGACATTTTATGAATGTTGTCGATGAATACATACTTAAATTAACTAGCACTATCCTGGGTATCTAGCAATCTCTTAATAAATGAGAGCAATTATTATGTGGGACTTCTAAAAACAAGACCCTTTATTCCTGTTAGAATTCACATTCAGAAATGATCTAATATATATTTTTGGTACATTGGAATAGACATTGTATAGTCCATGTGAATCAAAAATTTAAATTCCTTGCTACTATAAATTGAATTTTCTGATGTAATGATGCTATTACTATAGAAAGGAAGGGAAAGTTTTACTCCTATTTCATGAACTCCCACTGGATTTATAGATTATAATGCTGCATGTCATAAAATAGCCTTTATTAAATTTAACGTTGATAGTGGAAACATAATAAAACCTCAGTAAACATCACCTACCATAGGATTATTGGCATTTCTTCACAGTAGAGAAGATAGTTCCAGAGCTACTGAGAGAAGGGGCGAAAGTGCTCACTCTTGTAACTGCTCAGCAGAAAGCCAAGACCTTCCAAAATGCTATAGGTTAAAAGCGAGGCTGAGGTAACCTCAGGACAAGTATAGTGCAGAGCTCTGGCCACAGAGGCTGAAGGGCATATGTTCAGTAAGCAATGGTTACACCATACTTGGCAGTCCCTAATTATGACATGGACTCCACTGAAGGCCAGTCTGCGCTGTGATTTGGAAGAGCCATGGTCTGGAAAGGCACCTAGAGTGAAGGCCAGGGTCATGCGCAGCCCCTTTCTAAACTGCTGTCCCGAAATCTGACCACATTAGCTCCCTTCAGATCCACTCCAGAACAATTGCACGATGCTTGATGATGCTCGCCATTTTTTCCACAGGTAGGTAAATGGCTGGAAAGACGACTATAGAAATGCCTCAATTTTGTCAGTCGGACAGCAGAGGCTTAAGAATTGTGGGAACCCCCTTTCAGATTATTTCATGTATCACCATAAGTGAAATGAGATTGAGCAATTACCTAGTTAATTTAGACAAGTAAATAATAAACCAGTGAAAAGCAAAGCCTAATTAAAGTCTTGTTTGAAAGCCCAAGCTAGATTTTTTAAATCTGAGTTACCTAATCTTTTTTATTGAAACTAACCAAAGCAACCAGATAATTATCAAATTTCCACCTCAGTTTGCCAATTTTTCAGTAACATATCTATCTTTTTTCAAACTTATCATTATATTGTAAAATGGAAAAGCAGTGTAACAGAAGTCAGAATCTCTAGCTATTTTAAGTAGAAGTGTTTTAATATAGCTTTTAAAACCGTGATATCAACTGACAGAAAAAGGATCAATTTTTTAGGTCAAAGTTTAATTTTTCAGGGACCAAGAAATTAAATGTTAACTGGGATTCATTCATTCATTCAACAAAAATTTGAAGGCCTAATATGGGCCAGACATTGAGTCCTATAAACACACCAGCCCTACCCCCTTGGAGCTTATCACTGAGGGAATTAGCCGGACTTTGAAATGTAACATAATGTGTTAAATCAAATTCTAAAATTCATGTTTATTTCTTAATAGAGTCAGGGTTTGAATGTTACTATTGTTACTATTTAAAAGAAGAAGAGATTGTTTTTTCCCCTTTTCATTAAATCCCATCACATCTTACATTGCAATGGTGAGACTAAGAAAATGGCTTTAACTAGATTCAAGGTTCTTAAAAATGTTTTTTTCTGGATAAAAATAACACTAATGATATGTTAGTGAATTATACACAAAATATTCTAATCACTGATTCTGTTGTTAACATTTTAGATGTAAAAATTTGCTTCACCTTACATATAGTCTATTCATTAGCAACTGGTACTTTGACATGCTGGCTGTGAAAACAAACAAACACCCTATACTTCAGTGATGCAATATTTTGCTAGATGGAATTAGCACACTTGACCACATAATTTCCCATTATCTTTTAATACAAACTATTGATTTGACCAGTCAAAAGGAAAGGGAAAAAATTTAATCATGCAGGGTTATTCACGTCTTAAAATCTAGTTGGTTTCTTTTCTGAAATTCAAATTTCTTTCTAAAGGCCTCTGTTGGTTGTGAGTCAAAAGGATGTTTCCTCTTACCTTAAAAGCCTTCAAAAAGACTTGGAAAATCCAGGATTTCTTATCTTTTTCTTTGAAGACTGAGTAGCACACTGTCCTGGACTTTTGCATCACTTGGAGGATTTGCATGACAATTTTCTACCTGCTGAAATTTAAATGCAGTTTGATAATTTTCCCAACCAATCACTGTTTAGGATCCCTGATATAGGGTTATAAAGTGTCACCATGTCTATGAAGCACATAATAACTTCTCCCACTTCCTTCACTTGCCAATGTGTGTTCGCTCACTGAACCATTTAGTTCCAAAGGAACTAGACTTATTTTCACTTAATTAAATAGCTCTTGGGAGGTTCTTTTGCATCTTAAATATAGGGAATCATTGTAATGTATCTGAAAAGAGCCACTTAAACTCTGTCACCCTGACATTTCTTGTCTTACTAAGGTTGGCAATCTAAGAAAACTCTAGGTTTCTTTAGTAAATATGACTGCCTATTTAAGACCCCTATTATTCCTGAGGTGGGTATTAAAGTTTCTGTGCTATAATTCAAGAAACTGTCCTCGTGCAACAGCCTTGGCATTGCTCAGAGGTGCCTTTAGCAATCTATAAATAGTAGCTCCATGCACTCTCCCTGACCTAAACACTGATGTGAAGTTTTCAAATGTATCAATTTAATATTCAAACTAAATTTTAAAATGCATATTCAAAATATTAAAACTTATTGTTAGGTAGTTAGATGTACCAAAGTGTGTACAGACAAAAGATTGAGCTCTTAATGGCCTCTCAGTTATCTGTCAGCTGTGGAGGACAGAATAGGAAACCAGACCACATGTTTAGCAGAAGGTTTCGGTACCTGATCTCATCATTCTCTGGAACCCCAGACATATCCTGCAAGGCAGGGAATCTCTAAACAATTTTACCAATTTGTGAGGTTAAAAACTTGACAATCTATGTCTCTCCATGAACTTGTTCAGAATTTTCAGTAATAGTCCAGTCTTTTTGTATGTTATAATATCAAAGGATGTGAACTATGTAAGACACTAATATACTACTACCCAACAGTGATAACTACAGAATTTATGTACAGGACTTTTACAGGGAAAGCAGTAAGGTTGAAAGGGAGTGAAGGGAATGGAAAGAGGATTTTTTTTTGAAGCTGTGGTTTCATAGCAATCACTTTGTTCTTATTTAGACAGCATGTTTATGTGAGCAGCGTAAAGAAGGAGCCTTAAGTCACTGGGAGCAGCACAACACGCTCAATCACACACAGACACCAGTGGAGGTTAGTGAACTGAAACTGCCTTCCTTTTTCGTTAATTTGAATGAACATAAATTATAGTCAGAGATTGTAATAATTGATGGAACTAGTAGACAGGAAATCAGTACAGATAACAAGATATAAATGCCAACCAACTTGATCTAATTGACATTTATTGAACACTTTGTCCAAGTACAGCAGAATAAACCTTGTTTTGAAGAATAAGTGGAACATTTACCAAGATAGACCAGATTCTAGGCTCCCAAACAAATCTCAACAAATTTAAAAGGACTTGAGTCATGCAAGGTATGTTTACTGACCACAATAGAAAGACCTCTGGAAAACCCAAATATTTAGAAACTATATAGCATGCTTCTAAATAATAAGTGAAAGAAGAAACCAAAGGGGAAATTCAAAGTTTTGAATTAAATGAAAATTAAAACACAACGATTTATCAAAATTTGCAGGATGTCACTAAAGCACTTTTTAGGAGGACATTTATAGCACTTAAATGCTTATATTAGAAAAGAAAAAGGTCTCAAAACAGTAACTTCACCTTTCACCTTAAGAAGCTACAAAAATAAGAAAAAAACTAAATTTAAATTAAGTAAAAGAATGTAAATAGTAAAGATCAGAACTGAAATCAGTAAATTTTTTTTTAATAGAGAAAAATCAATGAAGCCTAAAGCTGTGTTTTTGAGAAGCTTAATAAGATTTATAAGACTCTAGCCAGACTGGTCAGATAAATGAAAGACATAATTATCAATATAATGAGAGAGATAAAAATACTGCAGATTCTGTAGACATTAAAAGATTAAAAAG